GTGTGTGTGTGTGTGTATGTATGTGTATATATATATATATATATATATATATATATATATATATATATAAATGTTCTGGGAAAGTTCACTCTCTTGCTGTGGTTGCAGTTCTGCGTTTGCTTCCTCATCATCTCACCCCTGGACCTGAGATAGCAGCCATCATCTGACCCACCGATTTGGGTTCACCAACCCCTGCAACCACGTGAGTTGGGAGAATCCTCCAGACCTACCCACAAACCTGGGACTTGCCAGCCTGCCAGCCTCCCAGCCTTCACCACCACCACATGAGCCATTTCCTTGGGAGTTTGTGAGTTCTGTGAGACATTACAGGGAACTATGGAACCCTAAGACAGCAGGAAGATTACTGAGGAGAGGAAGAGAAGTTGATGTCAGAGATGATGGAGTCGCACAGCAGTTTGGAAAAATTGGACATTTGGGACATCTTTAACCTCCATCTCATAGGGATTGCCCTTGTGCTAATCTTTCTAAAAGAAATTATTCAAGTAATGATCTAATATTTGTTCATGACGTGAGATATGCATTGAGGTTCACTTTTTGGGCAATTATTCCAGCTCCACTTGTTTAAAAGACTATCCTTTCTCCATTGAGTTGAATTTACACCTTTGTTAAAAATCAATTGACCATATGTATATATGGTCACACCCTATGGGTTCTGTTTGTCTTTGAACCAATATCTGACCACTTGTCAGTTAGTTTATCATACTAGGGTGGCCTGTGTGTTGCTGTGATGCTAGAAGCTATGCCACCAGTATTTCAAATACTAGCAGGGTCACCCATGGTGGACAGGTTTCATCAGAGCTTTCAGACTTGATCTTACATGTAGAGTAGCCAAAGTGAATGAAAGAAATGATGAAGTAAAAGAGCTGAACAGAAGATTTCAAAGGACAGATTGAGAAGACAAAGTAAAAAGTATAATGAAATGTAAAAAGACTTGCAGTTAGAAAATCAAAAAGGGAGAGAACATGCTTGGCATTGCTCAAGCTGAAAGAACTGAAGAAAAAATGTAAGCCTTGAGTTGCAATGTTGAAGGATTCTATGGGAAAAATATTGAATGACACAGGAAGCATCAAAAGAAGATGGAAGGAATACACAGAGTCACTGCACCAAAAGGAATTTGTTGGCATCCAGCCATTTCAGGAGGGAGCATATGATCAAGAGGCTGTGGTATTATTGAAGGAAGAAATCCAAGCTGCACTGAAGGCATTGGCAAAAAACAAACAAACAAACAAACAAAAAAACAAGGCTCCAGAAATTAACAGTACCAACTGAGATATTTCAACAATGGATTCAATGCTGGCAATGCTCACTCATCTTTGTCAAGAAATTTGGAAGATTACTACCTGGTCAACCGACTGGAAGATTCATATTTGGGCCATTCCAAAGAAAGGTGATCCAACAGAATGCAGAAACTATCATTAATAATGCCTCCCTGTGCATAAGCAGCCCTTCCTTCTCCCATGATTGTTCTCTCCAGGGCGTGTGTCTACTTGAGGTAAATGTTTAACTCACATGCCTGTACTTTGTTTGGCTGGAAACCACAGGTATGGGTTTAATTCCAGACCTGAAGGGCAGCTAGGGGCCATAGTCTCAGTGGTTCCACCAGGCTCTATTGGACCAGCAAACCTGGTCCCCACCTTCTTTTTTTTTTCCTCCAAATGACTTTGAGTTTTGTTCCACATTGTTCTCCCTCTCTATCCAGGATCTCCTACATAGATCTCCCTCTGGGCACCATCTAGTTCTTCTGGTCTCATAGTTGTATAGGTTGCAGATCGGATGGTGTACCAGTCACTAGGACTGATTGTTTCCATTGATTTTGGTTTTCTTCTTTCTTCTTTGCTCTTGACAAGGAGAGACCCATAGTTGCATCTAGATGGCAGCTTGCTAGCTTTTAAGATCCCAGTCGCTTGAGTACCTTTTTAAAAATTGTGGTAAAAATATGTATAACAAAATATTTGCCATTTCAAAATTTTTTACATGTATAATTAACTGGCATTAATTATGTTCATTGTATTGTATGACCATCACCACTATCCAGTTCCAAATTTTTCCATCACCCTTAACAGAAACTTGAGTGTCTCCTAAACAATGACTCCTTTTTCCTTCCCTCCCACCCCTGGTAACTACTAATAAACTTTGGTCTCTATGTGTGTTTTGTTTTTAATAGATGTCGTTTAACAGGTTGGGAAATTCCCTTCTTTCCTAGTTTGCTGAAATTTTTAATCATGAATAGATGTTGGGTTTTGTCAAAAGCTTTTACTACATCTATTGGGATCATCATGTGGTTTTTCTCTTTGAATTTGTTAATAAGGCAAGTTACATTGATTTATGAATGTTAACCACTTTTGCATTTGTGGAATAAACCAATTTGCTCATGATGTATTATTCTTTTATATATTGTTAGATTCTATTTGCTAAAATTTTAAGAATTTTTTGCATCTATGTTTATGAGGGATATTGGTCTGTATGTATTTCCTCTTATATGTTTGCTAGAAATCACCAGTGGAACCATCTGGGCTTGGAGTTTAATTTGTGGAAAAGTTTTTAACTACAAATATAATTACAATAGACATAGGGGTATTCAGATTATTTCCTCTTGAGTGAATTTGGATAGTTTGTGTCTTTTAAGGAATTTGTCCATTTCTTTTGATTTGTTGAATTTATTGGCATAAAGTTGTTTATAATAATCCTGTATTATCCTTTTATCATGATAATCCCTAATGTCACCTCTTTAATCTTTATATTGGTAATTAGTTTTCTTTCTTTCTTATTTTTTTGCTGATCACTCTGGCCAGAAGTTTATTAATTTAGTTGATCTCAAAGAATTAACTTTTGGCTTCACAGATTTTCTCTAATTACTTTTCTGTTTTCTGTTTTGCACTGTGGTATTTATTATTTCATTTATACTGATTACTTCAGGATTGGTTTGCTTCCACCCCCCCAGATCCTTAAAGTAGAATCTGAAATCATTGACTTGAGACCTTTTTTCATTCTATAAATTTCCCCTCCTCCAACCACAAACAAAAATGTCATATTTTCATTTTTATTCCCTTCAAAATACTTTCTAATTTCCTCTTGGATCTTTCCTTTGACTCACGTGTTATTTAGTTTCCAAATATTGGGGATCATTTTTGTTACTGATTTCTACTGTCATCTCATTGTGTTTAGAGAACTTCATGTGATTTGAATAATTTTAAATTTCTTGAAATTTGTTTCATGTCTCAGAAAATGCTCTATACTGACAAATGTTCTGTGTGCACTTGAAAATAATTTGTATTCTGCTATATGGTGGTGCAGTGGTTAAAGCATTTGGCTGCTAACCAGAAGGTCAGTAGTTGAAACCCACCAGTTACTCCACAGGAGAAAGATGAGGCAGTCTGCTTCCAAAAAGATTTGTTGTTGTTGTTGTTGTTATTTGCCATCAAAAGATTTACATCCTTGGAAATCCTACGGGGGCAGTTCTATTCTGTCTATAGTGTCACTATGAATTGGAATCAACTCAATGACAATGGGTTTGGTTTATTGTTAAGTGGAGCACTCACTCTATAAATCTTGATTACACTGTCTTAGGTTAGGTTCTCTAGAGAAACAAAACCAGTGAAGCTTATATATGTGTATATATAGAGAAAGAATTCTCAAGGAAATGGCTTATGTGGTTGGAGAGGCTTCTCCTGACTCATGTAGCTTTGTTGTTGTTGTTGTTGTTATGTGCCGTTGAGTCGGACCCGACTCATAGCGACCCCTCCTTGGGTTTCCGAGCCAGTATCACTATGGAAGTAGATTGCCCAACCTTCCTTCCGAGACGTAGCTTTAGGAGCTGACAAACCCAAGACTGAAGGTCAGATAGCAAGCTGCTGGCTTACAGGCTGCAGAGGATGATGAATCTCAAGATCTGTAGGCAATATGGATGTCACAGGCTCAAATCCTTTGAACCAGAGATCAAATGCCAGATGCAGGATTCAGATCAAGCAAAAAGCCAGAGAGCTTTCCCAGAACACCTATATATATTGGAAGCAGCCACACACCTAAGGAAAATCCCTTTCAACTGATTGGCTGCTTATAGCAAATCTCATGATGGAGGTGATTCCATTACATCAGATCTCATATGGGAGATGACTACATCATAACTGCCAAACCACTGAGAATCATGGCCCAGCCAAGCTGGCACACAACCTTAACCATCACATGCATTGGTTGATAGTGTTGTTTGAATCTTCTATATCTTTATTTTTTTTCAGTTTAATCTATCAGTTATTGAGACTGGTGTTGAAATGTTTCACTGTAATTGCGAATTTATCTAGTTCTTATACTTCTGTCAGATTTGATTCACATACTTTGAATATGTTGTTAGGTGCCTAAATGTTTAGGATTTCTATACCATCTCAATGAAATCTCTTTTCTATTAAGAAATAACCCTACTTATCCCTGGTAATATCCTTTGCTCCAAAATCTAATTTGTTTGTTATTAATATACCTACTCCATCATTCTTTTTATTATTGTTCACAATCTTTTGCTTTTCCTATCCTTTCTTATTTTTATTGTGATTTGGGTGAAAGTTCACAGAGAAAATTCATTTTCCATACAACATTTTCCATACATTTTTTGTTTTATGACATTGATTGCAATCCCCATAATGTAACAACTCTCTTCCTACTTCCTCCCTGTGGTTACCTTTCCCTGTGTCCTTTCCTATGCATTTCTGCCCCCTGAGCTATCTCTCTGTGCAAATACTGCCCTCATGATTTCTTACGACTGACTTTTCTAAGGACTGTAAATGTTCACCTTCTACACCTGCCGACTGTTTGGCTGGAAGCCACAGAAGTTATTCAATTCCAGGGCCTAAGGGTGACTAGGGGCCATAGTCTTGGGGGTTTCACCAGTTTCTATCAGACCAGTAAGAATGGTCTTTTCTATGATTTTGAGTTTTGTTCCACGTTTTTGTCCCACTCTATCCAAGATCTACACTGATCCCTTTCCCAGTGGTTGACAGTGGTAGCCAAGTACCATCTAGTTCATCTGGTCTCTGGGTCATGTAGACGGAGGTGCACATGCTTCGCTAATCCCTTGGACTAATTGTTTCCATGTGTCTTTGGTTTTCTTCATTCTTCTTTGGTCTGGACAAGGAGAGACCAATTGTTGCATCTTAAATAGCCAACTGCAAGCTTTTAAGACCCCAATCACTGCTCACCAAATACCTATCCTTTTTAAAAGGAAAAAAAAATGTATTTGGGTCTTCATATTTAAAGCCAGTATCTTATAGGATTTATATAATTAGGTCTCTTTTTTTAAAAAAAAAAAAAAAACAATCTCTACTTTTTGCATTGGACAAATCTGCAAAAGACCTCTTTAAAGTGTTAAAGAGCAAAGATGTCACTTTGAAGACTAAGGTTGGCTGATCCAAGCCATTTTCTTTTCATTAGTCTCATACGCATGTGAAAGCTGGACAGCGAATAAGGAAGAATGAAGAAGAATTGATGCATTTGAAATGTTGTGTTGGTGAAAAATATTGACTGCCAGAAGAACAAATAAATCTGTCTTGGAAGAAGCACAGCCAGAATTCCCAAGACCATAGTCTCCTAGTCACCCTTCAGGCCTGGAATTGGACTCACTCCCATGGCATAACTCTCAGCCAAACAACAGATAGCTCTATAAGTGGAACAGCTACACCAGATAGAAGTACTCCTTAGAATAATCAACCATGGGAGATCAGAAAGGCAGCATTTGCACAGGCAAAAAGCTAGGGAGGCCCGAATGCATAAAGGACACACGGACAGGGTAGCCACAGGAAGAAAGTGAGAAGAGAGCTGTTACATTGCAGGGATTGAAATAAGTGTCATGAAACAAAATGTGTATGAACTGTTGAATGTAAAATCTGCTTTGTAAAATTTCACCCAAATCATAATAGAAAAAAATAAAGTACAGCCAGAAAGCTCCTTAGAAATGAGAATGAGCACACTTTGTCTCTCATACTTTGTTTGGTCAGGATATAATGCTTGGTAAAGTAGAGAGTCAGTGAAAAACAACAGCCTTAACAAGATGGATCGACACAGTGGCTACAACAATGGGCTGAAGCATGGCAATGATTGTGAGGATGGTGCAGGACCAGGCAGTGTTCTGTTGGACACAGTGTTGCGAAGAGTTGAAACTGATTTGATGGCACCTAACAACAACAATATGATTGATCTCCTTTTTTAATCCAATCTGACAACCTGTCTTTTATTGGGGTGTTTGGACCATTTATATTTAATGTGATTATTTGTATTGTTAAGTTTATATTTACCATCTTGTGATTTGTTCATTTTCTCATGTGTTTTTTATTTCCTTTTATTTATTTTTTGGTCTTATTTTATACTGAATATTTGTATCACTCAATTTTATTTCCTTTGTTGGCTTATTAGCTGTAACACTGTTTTACATTTTTAGTGGTTGTTTGGTGGTACAGTGGTTAAAGCATTCAGCTGCTAACCAAAAGGTTGGTGGTTTGAATGCTCCAGCCACTCTGCAGGAGAAATATGAAGCAATCTGCTTCCATAAAGATTTACAGCCTTGGAAATCCTATGGGGCAGTTCTACTCTGTCCTGTAGGGGTGCCATGAGTCAAAATCAACTTGATGCCAGTGGATTTCTTTTTTTTTTTTTAGTATATGTCTTTAAGTTAACACCATCTACCGTCAAGTAGTATGATACCATTTCATGGCCAGCATATGAATTTTACAGCCATTTTCTAATTTTTTTCCTTACTTGGCATTTGTGATATTCTTATCATGCTTCTATGTATGCTATAAACTCAACAATGCATTCCAATTACTCTTACTTTAACCAGTCAATTACCTTTTTAAAATATTTAAATAATAAAAAAAGTCTTATTTTTGCCCACATAGTTACCCATTTCCGGTGTTCTTCAATTTCTTTCTTCCTGAAAGACTTCTTTAAACATTTCCTATATTTCAGATCCACTGGTGATAAATTCTTTCAGGTTTTATATGTCTGAATATGTCTTTATTTCACCTTCATACTGAAAGATATTTTCACTGGGTATAGAATTATAGGTTGACAGGGTTTTGTTTGCTTTTTTGTTTTTCTTTTAGTATTTAAAGATGTAACATCACTATCTTTTGGTTTCTATTGCTTCCAGTGAAAAGTCCACCATAATCCACATCTTTGTTCCTCTGTATGTAACGTGTATTTTTCCTCAGGGTATTTTAGGATTACCTATGTTTGGTTTAAGAAATTTGATAATGATGTGCCTTAATGCAGTGTTCTTTTGTTTTGTTTTGGTGCTTGGGTTCACTGAGCTTCTTAGATATGTGGTTTTATAGTTTTCATGAAACTTGAAAAATTTTGGCCATTATCTCTTCTAGCAGATTTTCCATCCCTACATCCCCTCATATGCACATTTCAGAACAATTATTACATGTATAGGAGGCCCTGGGGGTGCAAACAGTTAATATTCTTGTAGCATAATGGCTAAGACACTTGCCTGCTAACCAGAAGGCTGGCGGTTCAAACCCACCAGCCACTCCTCGGAAGGAAGGTTGGGCAATCCTACTTCCGTAGTGATACTGCCTCGGAAACCCAAGGAGGGGTCGCTATGAGTCGGGGCCGACTCGACAGCACATAACAACAACAACAACAATAGAAAGATTGGCAGCTCAAGTCTGCCCAGAGGAGCTCCAAAGGAAATACCTGGCTATCTAGTCTACTTCCAAAGGATGACAGCCATTGAAAACCCTATGAAGTGCAGTTGTACTCTGACATACATAGGGTTCTCATGAGTCAGAGGTAACTTGACAACAACTGTTTTAGGTATTTTTAGCATGTATATTATATGTGTTAAACTTTTTCCATACTTTCTGGTGTACTGTTCATTTTATTTTAAGTCTGTTTTCTTTTTATTTATTTTGGGAGTTTTAATTGCTATATCCTCAACTTTGCAAACTTTTTCTTCTAATATCTTTAAAATATCATCTAGTATATATGTATTTTTTTCATTTTAAACATATTAAATTAATTTTTAATATCACCCAGTATATATTTTTTCATTTCAAATATTGGCGTTTTCATCTTTAGAAGTCATGGAAATTATATTTTTCAATCACAATGGAATAGAAACTGAAATCAATAAACCAAAACCAAACCTACTGCCATTGAGTTGATTATGACTCATAGTGACCCTATAATACAGAGTAGAACTGCCCCCATAGGGTTTCTAAGGCTGTAAATCTTTACAGATGCAGCCTCATCTTTCTCCCATGAAGCGGCAGTTGAGTATGAACTCCCAACCTTTTGGTTAGCCGCCCAATGCTTAATTACAATGCCATCAGGGCACCTAGAAATCAGTAACATAAGGAAAACCAGAAAATTAATAAATATGTGGAAATTTAACAACATACTCCTAAACAATGAGTCAAAGAAAAACCAGAAAATAACTTGCAATAAATGAAAAGAAAAACAACATACCAAAATTGTTGGGTGCAGTGAAAGAAGTACTAAGAGGAAATTTATAGCTATAAGTGGCTACAATAAAAAAAGAAATATCTCAAATCAATAACCTAAGATCATACCTTAAGGAATGAGAAAAAGATCAAACTAAACTCAAAGCTTGCAGAAGGAAATAATAAAAGTCAGAATAAAGATAAAATAGAGACTAGAAAAACAATATATTTTATTGTTATTGAATAGAAAATTTTGTATTTTATGTTTTATTGTTATTGAATAGAAAATCCACAAAACCTAAAGTTGGTTCACTTAAAAGATCAACAAAATTTACAAACCTTTAACTAAACTTATTTTTTAAAAAGAGAAGACTCAAATCACTAAAATCATAAGTGAAAGTAGGGACATTATTACCTATTTTATCAAAATAAAAATTATTATGAGAGAATACTATGAATGACTGTGTACCAACAAATTGAATAACCTAAATGAACGGTTAAATTCTTAGAAACACACAAACTACCAAAGTTGACTCCAGAAGATATAGAAAATCCTAATAGAACTACAGTAAGTAAGAAGATTGAATCTGTAATCCAAAACCTCCCAATAAAGAAAAGTCTAGGACCAGATGGCATTACTAGTGAATTCTACCAAGTATTTAAAGAGTAATTAACACCAATCTTTCCCAAACTCTTTGCAATGTACTGAGTGAAATAAATCAGATGGAATAGTGCAGGGATCTTTGGATCAGAACAAATAATTACACTACTCACTAGCATTGTCACAGGCTTTTATTATTTACAGTAATCAGGATGTTGGTAAATGGAATAGGAGTAGGGCTTTAT